AAAAAAACTCCGCCACCGGTCAATGACCGTACATTCCCGGCTCTCCCATCCAAAATGCCCCTTCAGGGCAACTCTCAGTCACATCATGACCTATATCGACCCCCTCAGGAACCCTACAGGCCTCATCACCTTCGCCCACTAGGGCCCCGACATCAGGCGGAACCCTCTTACGCCGATAACGTAGATATAGTATACACTGCTATCCGCAATATGGACGTAAGAGAGGTCGCAATTTTAGCACGCAAACTGCGGCCCCCACCCAAACTCAAAAAAATAACCCCCGATAAAAGTCTCCACATAACCACGCAGCTGGCTGCGTGGTATGACATGGTAAAGCCATGCTTTATAATGGTTATAACATTAAATGGATGGCTCGACCGGGGGTGTACCCCGGTTTAACATAATACCAACGTGAAATAACAGCTTAATGATGCTGTGTTTCGTATAGCGACTTTATTAAAAAGGAGATCTTATTTAGTAGAACCAAGGCATTTCATCTTAGTCCTCATGTGCGACAATATATCAGTTTAGTGATTTTTAAGTGAGGATAGAAGTAGATGTATTTTGGCGACAGTATCCACTTACCATCATGTGGACTCTCGTTTGTAAATCTTATTCATTAATAAAATACGTGAGATTTTTAACATAAATCGTAAAACAAATCATTTACTAAAAAATTGAAGGTAGTCCGGGCTAAGTATGAAGCTAAGTATTAAGTGTAGAAAATAAATGTCGGTTAAATTTTCTGGCATTGAATAATAAAATAAAACTGGTTTTATTTAAGAACTAAATATTACTAAGGACCATATTAAAAAAGTGCTCGAAACCAGTCACCATAAAACTGTTATTAAAAATTTAAAGTTATATACGTATATATAACTTTGCTTTAAATTTTCCTATTTACCTAATTAATTAATTAAAGGACAAAAGTTTAATTTTAATCTATGGTAACCGCGGTTAACTATGACGTCTGGACGTTGAACATCTCAGTCCCCCCGTGACCATGGGCGCTGTAATGTGCTCGAAACGTCGGGTATTTAAAAGTGAAATATACGCGATAAAATCCCTAAAAACTAGTATTATTTAAATTATGTAGGCTATTAAAAGTCGGTAAGCAGTCAACATCAAAAAAGTGTAACTTCTGTACGTAGTGCTATTATTTATTCTGTGCCATTAGGTAGACTGTGTACTCGTTTGTCATCTTTATTCTATAAAAAATATACAATATATAAGGATTATGTTCACCACCAGCATTTTGAACTTACTCGAGTTCAACAAAATAAGTCTGTTTATGTTTACTTTGCTTCACTATAACTCTAAGTCAGTTATATATAGAAACGAAATAAGACGCAATTGTAAAGATAGTTTGAAATAAAACTGCATTTCCCAACAAAGCATGCAAATTCCACTTTGTATTTATTTCCTGTTTACACCTAAATTCAATAGCTCCGTTCCGTTCCTTTGATGAGACTTGAAAACTATCCGTTTTCATAAGTTTGAATTTGTATGATCTGATTGCTTAAGTTCTACTTTGTCTGGAAATGTTAAGGATACTCATACTTTGTTAGCATCAACGCAGATCTTTAATATTTTAATATTATAAATTTGTAGTTTGGAAACTACATAAATACTTCTTTGTACATTGATACTGATACCCATCCGATATAAATTACACATTTTAAACGTAAAAACAAATGATATGTTTGAGTAACAAAGTATTTCCAGTTCACATGGTCTGTTTGTTTAATTGATTGATTAAATAGAGGTATCATTAGACATATTTATTATAATATAGAAGATAATAAAAATATTAATAATTATAATATGTAATTATAATGTTAATAATTTTAATCTACCTCCAGATTTGCCGTGGTTAAATATGACATTGGGACGTCGAACATTTCAGTCCCCTCGAGACCATGGGTGCTGTAAAGTACCCGAAATAATGATTTTTTAAACTTACGCGAAAACTACACATTGATTAAAACTACTTTTACGGATTTTATCGGACCATAAATTTTAATTAAAAAGCTGAAGTTACTCCGGGCTAACACTGATATCGGTACGTCAGTCACCTCAGTTTACGGTGACCATGGGTGCTGCGGGGCCCGAAATGATCACCAACATGTGTCGAGTGAGCATGAAAGGGTGTGTGGGTTTGTTTCGCGGCTTACGAATTAGCTTGGATATTGAAGGTAATTGTTCTGGGGCGGGCTTTTGGAAACTCTACTTCAATTGCTGCTCATAAATTAAATCGATTAAAATGTTAACTGTGAAATAATATTTAAATAGTGTTAGAAATTAAAAGTTAGCGAGCGAGACGGCTTTATGGCGCAGTCTCCCACACATTTTAGTAGTATACAGTAAAGTATAGGAATAGGAATAATATTAGCATTTATTTTACGAGTCCTAACCGATGACTTAATTTTGCCCATCGTTATAATTATTTTGGTATAAGTGAAAAAATTCTAACTACCTATTAGACTATTATCAACAAGTAGCTAATTCTGTCCGTCGGCACCTGCAACCAAAATTGATTAAGGGTTGCAAAATTTAAGAAATTATTACCTAAAACCTGTTTGAATTAAAGAAAGCCACCGATATGCCGCCACGCCTGGAATATTACAAATTATATGTCATAGCTTTTAATTATCCTCACTTTTTGACCTTCGAACCAGGTTAAAACATTGCCTTAAATATCGATATTTATAAAATATATGACTTTAAAAATGTTTTAATATTGTATGACAATTTGACATTGATACATATGTGCATACATACATAGCCTGTAATCCTCAAGAGAATAAATAGGCATAGTCCCCAAGAGCGATGAGCTGCTCGGCGCACGTTAGCCGAAAAAACAATTATTTAGATGGATAATTGTGAAGGAAGTGATAGGTGGCTGGCCCATCACCGATACAATCTAAATTCAATATCTCTTTAGTGAACTTTCACGACATGCTAAACAAGAAGCACCGTTGGTACATTCTATATCGTTAAAAATTAACGTGGAGCCTATGAGTTCCTGACCAACATTAGATAAATTACATATTACTTACCCACAAATTTGGTTTGAGGTACCAAAGTTAATAGAATACCAGTCGAAAAAAGTGGTAGAGACACGTGGTAGAAACACGCTACTTCCATATATTTTGATTGTAGCTTTAATGTATTCACTCAAACGGGGGAAGGATTTTGCCCGTACAGGACAATGCACTTGCATTTTGATTTTTAATCAACGATAGCCTCAGGATAGCGCACAACTTCTGAGCAGTTACTTTATTTAAATTTCAATTGGATTAAAATATTTTTATTGCATTCCTTATAAGAATAAAAGAATACAAAGGGTGGAATTCCTTTAGAAATCTCTGAGTGAACTCATGGAGTGGTTAGAATTTGACTAATATCTTCTTCTCCCTGGCTATAATCTTGCGCCACATCGTGCGATTGTGGGTTGTCCTTTCTGATATGTAAGTAAATTTCAGGTCGTTTTTTCGTGTTTGTAGCCAGGTTATTGGTGATCGTCCACGGCCTTTCTTCCCCCTCTTCTATATTCATAACTCTTTTAATCACATGGTCATCATCACGCCTCATCACATGTCCGTACCAGCGTAGACGGTTTTCTCTAAGTTTTTCGTGCACCATAGCAACCTTAAAACTACCACGAATATAATCGTTTCTTATTTTATCTATTCTAGAAACTCCTCCAGACCAACGTAGCATTTTCATCTCAGTGACGTGAATTTTCTGTTCATCCGTCTTTCTCATCGGCCAGCACTCAGATCCATATAGCAGAGCTGGTCTTACTGCTCTTTTGTATACATTGCCCTTTATTTTAATAGGCATACGGGAGTCGCATAGAATGCCAGACAGCGATCTCCATTTTAACCAAGCTGTTTGGGTTCTATTTTGTATGTCTCTTTCTATACATACCTTTGGTGCTTCAATGGATCCAAGATACTAAAACTCTTCAACTTCCTTAAGAGGGCAGCCTTCAATAGATGGGCATAGAATAACATTCACTAACATGTTTTTATATATTGTAAATCTTACGTATAAATGAACATATCTATGGCCATCTTATTCGGAATGAAATTACCTTTAAATGGTTTTAACTTTAAAACGTTTTTCACACCACATTTCTTGCTCTGCTGTGTCAGTTCAAAGGGTATAACTGAGGCAGTATATTTACAGGCTCTGGAACACGCCAACTTAGTTGTCCGAGTTTACAATGTATCTTCAGCTTTCTTCATTTGAATTTACAGGTGTTTTTTTGCTACATTAGCCATTTGCTATCAGGTGGATTGTAAGTACCTGTACGCGAAAAAATCTTACAAGATGTGCGACTGCTGAACATGGGTTTCCCCATTAAATGTCTTATAGGTGGATTATAATACTTGACAACCTGACCTCTTATGTCACCCACTGGATAAAATTTGTATGGTAGTGGATATTCTTATTTATTATTATTATTAATAATAATAATAATAATTACATGGCCTAGGGAAGTGACGACCCCATCGCCCGTTGACGTGACGGTTATGTGACAAAACCGCTACGTCCGCGCAGTCAGTCAGCACCTTGCCAAGAGGTGTGAGCGCCGTGCCTCGGCAAAAATTGATGGTGCAAGGGCCCGCTTGTGCATATGGCCTCACCATGAAACGGCGCCGGGTCTGGGCGTCTCCCGTTAAATGACGCCCTGTATGGATGATGGAACATAGAAGATTGCGCAAAGGGCCGCTGCCTGGAGGTCGTCAGGGCGCGTCTGGAGCTGGCGCTGGACGCGACAGCATGCGAACCGCCAGCCGAGCGCGAGGTGCTGCACGACCACCCAGCAGCCCCTCGCATCCATCATCCCCACCAGCTTGCTTGGTGTCGGCAGGGTCTTCGCAGGCCCAGCAATCGGCACCCGCCACTGGTGGAGTACGCCGCATGCGATGGACCATCAATATGAATTCAAACGCATTGCGGGCGTATTTTAGGGCGAAAGGGGGGAGAAATTGGAGGTTTCGCGTATCGGGCTAGGATGCATCGTCTTTTTTACTGAGCTGGAGCCATCTATTACTGTCACCGAGCAAAACCTGGCAGACCGAGTTCGGTATATCTTACGCTCAAATATATTTGATGGCGCCGAACTCGAACGGCTACGACGTGAGGCTGTTCCCTCATCAAATGAAAACGCTACGACTGAGGGTGCGGTGCCACAAGTTGCAGAACAACCCGCACACGTGGATGCCGCCGAGAATACCCCAGTGGTTGCTGATTCAAATGATGATGGAACATTCACCCAGGAACTAGAAATAGAGCAAATGAGGAGTACATTGGAAGAGGCGATTATGGAAACGCGCAGTACGCCTCTCGAAAATCGACCGCGACTTCCCCGCATAGCCCTAAGCAAGCGGAATCGGGCTGTCGTGAGGGCTCTGAACCCAATGCTGGTGACCTATTTGGAAGCCAGCCGGGACCTTTGCGAGACGGACTCAATTCTCTTTGGCGCCGCACTGGCAGTCTGCCGTATTATAGGCGTCAAACTTTCCACGGCTGGACGCACTACTGGACAAAGTAGTGCTATCCCAGCCTGGAGAACAAGAATTGAAGAACGTATCGCAAAGGCTAGGGCCCTCATCGGCAGACTGATATGCTTCAGGTCAGGCAATACCAGGCCAAGGATTGTGCGCACCGTCAGGATGGCGTTTGCTGGGACAAATGTTAGTTTGTCCCAGCCGGATATAATGCAAAAACTGACGGAGCGCATAGACGACCTGAAGCAGAGAATCGCTGCTTGGGGAAAGCGAATTCGGCGATATACCGAGAGGTCGACACGGTTCAACCAGAATCGTCTCTTCCAGAGTGATCAGAAGAGGCTCTATAAATCATTGGAGCGACCAATGGTAAGTGGAACGGGCCCAGTACCGAATCAGGCCGACACGGTCGCATTCTGGCGCAGCCTGTGGTCAGAGCCCGTAAACCACAACGAGGGCCCTTGGACGGAAGTTGTGGCGAGTCAGTGTGCGGGTATTACGCCCATGGACCCCGTCACCATAACGCCGGATGACGTAGCTGAGGCGGTCCGTAGGGCCCCGAACTGGAAAAGTCCGGGACTCGACGGGCTGCATCACTACTGGCTGAAGGGGTTCGTGGTGTGTCACACTGTGCTCGCCCGACAGTTTCAAGAGGTTCTCAACCAGAAGTCGCTCCCGAGCCTCTTCACTACTGGGATCACCCATTTGGTTCCTGAAGGCCAGAGTACCACAGACCCGAGCAAATACCACCCCATCACATGTCTACCGACCATATATAAGACACTAACATCCATTTTGAGCGCGAGAATCACTCGTCACCTGGACTCAAATCAGGTGATGTCGCGCGCTCAAAATGGATGTCGGGGGCGGCGGTCGTGGAACCAAGGAACCACTCCTCATTGACGCGGTCATTGGCAAAGTGGTGAAACGCAACCGTCGGAACTTCTCCGCCGCCTGGATAGACTACAGAAAGGCATTCGACTCGGTGCCCCATACATGGCTAAAGAGAGTCCTCGAACTGTACGAGATAGACTGTACACTTAGAGACTTCCTCGAGCAGTGTATGGGGCAGTGGAGTACGATCCTTAGTCATCTGGGCGAGCGGATGATGGCTGCGGAGAACCACATAAGGATAAGAAGGGGTATCTTCAGGGTGATTGTCTGAGTCCAATATGGTTCTGCCTCTCTCTGAACCCTCTCAGTACCTTACTGGAGGGCTCCGGGAGGGGATTTCAGCTACGGAAAGGAGGGACAAAAGTGACCCACCTTTTCTATATGGATGACCTCAAGTTATTCGCCTCCAGTCGCTCCCATCTTATGGAACTGCTAAACATCACTTGTGAATTTAGCAATTCCATTGGAATGGAGCTGGGGACGGATAAGTGTGCGGTCCTCCATGTTGAGAGGGGTAGGGTTGCTAACTCTGAGGGCATAGACTTATCTATGCCCGTCAACTTAAGGACCCTTTCCGAGTCTGAAACATACCGATACCTGGGTATGTCACAGAACATTGGTATCGATGAGGCTGGTATGAAACAGTCAGTTTGCGACGTGTTTTATGCACGCTTGACCAAAGTGCCTAACAGCCTTTTGTCCGGTGTGAATAAGACACAAGCATATAACGGCTGGGTCATACCTGTCCTCATGTATACCTTTGGCATACTCAGGTGGACTCAGACTGAACTTAACGCCCTGGATAGAAAAGTCCGCACTACCATGACGTCCCACAGGATGCATCATCCGAGATCGTCGGTAATGAGGCTGTACTTGCCGCGAAAGCATGGTGGGCGTGGCTTCTTGAGCGCGCTCACCATGCATAATCGCGAAGTATGCAGCCTCCGTAATTACTTCCTGGCGAGATCGGATGATCCATTCTATAAGGACGTCATTTCTTGTGATAAAGGACTTACCCCTCTATCCTTAGCCAACGAGCAATGGCAAGACAATTTCCGACCGGGAGACCGTATGGAAGGAGAAGGAGCTCCACGGGAGGTTCTACAAGTCTCTACATGGGCCTTTCGTAGACACAGTAACCTCTCTCCACTGGCTACGCTTTGGTGACCTCTTCGGGGGAAACCGAGGGTTTTGTCTGTGCAATACAGGATTAGGTTATTAAGACCAACAACTATCGGAGATACATCCTAAAGGATGGCACCATCGACATCTGTCGAGCTTGTCGCCATCCCGGTGAGTCACTTAGGCATGTCATCTCCGGTTGTTCGGCGCTTTCTAACTCTGAGTACTTGCACAGGCACAACCTAGTAGCCAGAATTCTACACCAGGAGCTCGCTCTGAAATACGGTTTCGTGGATCGGAAGTTGCCGTATTACAAGTACTTGCCGGAAGCCGTGCTCGAAAATGATCGCGCCAGGCTCTATTGGGACCGGGCCATCATCACAGACAGGACTATTCTTGCGAATAAGCCTGATATTGTGCTGATGGACCGGGCACAGTCAAGGATATTTTTGGTCGACATTACCATTCCGTGTGACGAGAACCTCGTGAAAGCCGAAACAGATAAGCAAACAAAATATCTGGACCTGGCTCACGAGGTGACCGACATGTGGGGTGGTCTGCCGACCGAAATTATTCCTGTAGTCGTCTCTGCAAACGGGCTAATCCCAGTCAGCCTCTCGGGTCATCTGATGCGGCTGGGACTACGTGGCGGACCGCTCCAGGCTCAAATGCAGAAGGCGGTGCTCCTCGTTACCGCCCGCATCGTCCGCCGGTTTCTTTCCCTTTCCCCCTAACCCTCGGCCGTTTGGTCTCCCCTGCCGAGGGCTTCCATCTGGTTGGGCTTTTATTTATTTATGTATTTTCATATTTATTTTACTTTATTGATATTTTTGTATGTTTATCTTTTCATTTTCGTTTATAATTATATATTTATACATCCCAACCAGATGAGAAAACTATATAGATACCCCGCACATAATAATTAAATTTATTTCAGACCCACATATAGTCCATAATATGTTAGTAAATTAGCTTAACCTATGTTAGTCTTAAATTATTACACGTACAATTTTCATAAAAATTATTTTTTTATTTTTGGTACCCCATGACACCAGGCACATGCAAGTGCATACGCATCCAGTGCCCAAGGATGGAACAATCAAATCTATCAGATATTGCCCTCAGAATGCTATTAGAGCTCCCACGAACCCTACACATGAGGGATGCTATTCTCTTTCGAATTATGGGCTGAAAACCATCCGTACCGTACGCTGTAAACATCCCTGAAGCGATACAATACCGCGGAAACCCCATCAGCATCCTGAAGGCATTATTATATTGTACCCGAAGGGCATTGTAGGCTCTCTGCGTGTACTTAACCCATAGACTGCACGTGTAAAATGACTAGCAAAAGGCTTTGAAAAGTGTTATCTTAACTTCTTTTGTACAGCATGCCAAGCTACGGTACAGCATGTTACAGCGAACGGCTAATGCCCCTTTTTCTTTTTCTATGTCCACATCATCAGTAAGATCCTCAGTTAAACATGACCAAGATACTTAAATTGATACACTCTATTTAACTGTACGTTCCTTAATTTAACAGGTGGAATAGTTTAAATTTTTGATCCAGTTTGAAATAACAACACTTCACTTTTTTATATTATAAATGAGACCGTGAGTCTCAGCATAAGTATCACAAATATTAAGTAATGTCCTCAGTGCGTTAATCGATGGGCTCAGCAACACCATGTCGTCTGCATAGCTTATGCTGTTAACGAAATGCCCATCAATTGAGCAGCATTAAATGTCGCTTAGTTCGCTTAAAGTTATTATTGAGCCTATTTCCAAATTTGATTTGTGTATGTAGCGTGTAACCATGGCAACGTTATGTGGCGTCATGTGTTCATCTCCGCTTGTGGAATAGAGACGAGGGTTTAACCGTAAGAGGCTTATTGGAATAAACATTGTCAATTAATACGTACCATGTATTATTAATAGATCGTTAGAGATCCTCGTATTACGTACTGTGTTTAAGATTATTAAACACACATTACAACTATAGGTAATAATATGAAATTAACAGGAAAGTGGTTTATTAAGCTTTAAACGCTCATGTACTTGTTTTTTAAGCGCGTGCCTATATTTTGATCCATGACACACATAATGTAATATTAGCAAAATTTTGTAAGTTATTGTATAAAATTATAATATTTTGTAAATTATTTTTATACGTGGTTGAGTTAAGCTGCAACTTTATTATGGTTGTAGCACGAATGGGTCGGCTGAACCGAGGAAGGACCACACTCTCTCAGAATACCAGCGTAAAATAGCAGCTTGATACTGCTGTGTTTCGCATGACATGTTTAGAGATCCGCAGACTTTTTTCTACTGGAAACGAGGCATTAACTGCAGCATGGCTCTACGACGTATATATATATATATATATATATATATATATATATAAAAAAATATATATATATGCGCTATAACGTTAGTTACTTTTAAATTGTAATTGCATAGCACAAAAAATGATATTTAAATTTTATAAAACTCCAACAAATTGCAACAAGTCAAATGTTAATACCAATATAAAACGCGTAAAAATAATGAAGGAAAATTGTAATTTTATTCTTTATTTTCTCGAAAACTAGGAGCTTTCTAGCGCTGATTATTTGTACACGAATGTTAAAAAAAATTTATCTTTCGAACAGCAGGCATTTGAAAGTGCTAAGTTATAGGTAGTTAATCTAAAGGAGAACCGATGCCTTTCAACTGCATGTTGTATTGAGCTTGTAACTATTTCTTATTTTAGTACAATCAGGGGTTCTTTCATACAGTATATTTTGGCACCGACTTCGAAAGATGGACATCATTTTATTATTTTTACTTATTTCAAGTCGGCTTTTATACTGTCACTTTAAAAAAAGATTAAAGAGTCACCAAATACATAAACACATCAATCTATGAATACATGGATATTTGACGCCGCTGAGGTGAATGAATAGAAAATAAATTGAACGCGCCGAGCACAGGTAGTATGGTTTTTGCCAGTGACAGCTCTTTGTGTACACACCAAACGCGGTTTAGTACGAGGCTGTTTAATTCGTTGCGACCCACAAAAGCTCAAACATCAAGCTTGTATCATATATTGAAAATTCTGAGAACACTAAAATTTATGTAATCAGTACATACATAGTATTACAGCTCATTAGGTACAAGTTCTGTCGTATGGTAGCGTTGTAAGATCCATCACCCCATTTCGCCGAGGGTGTCGTAAGGTGACTATGGTAAATTTCAATAAAATTTTAAGGCTTCCAGGAGACGGCACGACACCATCTCGTTAAAGTCAGACCCAAAAAGATGGCCGCCACGGGACACCCGGCAGATATGAAACATCATAGTTGATGGAAGAATTTATAATTAATGAAAACCAATAAAGGAATATTAAGTAAAAGAAATAAAAAATGGGGAGCCACAAGTGGTACACAAATCACACAGAGAAGCAACGAAGTATATAGTATGCGTGCACTTATGCACACACGTGTGATTTGAGAGAGGTAGCGTAGAGGGTAGAGGAGGTAGGAGAGGTGAAGAGAGCGTCATGCCGTTTGCCATCACGACGTACGACTTGGTTACACTGCCATACACATTACTGCCTTGAGCTCTGTAGACTTTGGATGTGTCGGTTGAGGTGACTCCTTTCATTCCCCTCTACTAGCTCATGTGCGTAACTAAAAATAAGTTTTCATACCTCGCTTACTGCTTGATACTCTGTGTTTGGTGACAGTATTAGTGATCATATTGTGATGCGTGAAGCACGCCCAGGATGACAGCGACCTCACTGTGAAGTTGATTGGACGCTTGTTGTGGTCCAAAGAGTGTTTTGTGCGTAACTGTTCATCCTGGCTTCCTATTTTTGGGTTAACCGTAAGTAGATTGAAATACACCCGCTGTCTCAGAGGCAGCTGTCTACTTTTATTTTAATGTCTGTGTTGCTTGTTGCATTAGGTACACACCACAGCGTACCAACGCGCTAGGCATAGGTGTTTATTCAGACACACATCGTTGGCCAGTGCCACCGATGCCAACTCAGAGCCTACTCGGCCAGAAATTGTTACTCCAGGCCTCGATGCGTCAATTGCCTGGGTCAGTCTAGTGCCTAGGAACCAGGGCACTACCTACTTCACCCGCACATCTGAGACGGCAGAGCCTTCAAACTGCGTTAATTGCCGTGAAGAGGGACACCCAGTAAATTATCGCGGGTGTTTCAAAGCGCCGCGACGCAAACAGCGTGAAAAAGCCGTCCAGCAGATCAGCCCAGCGTGTTGTGCTATCAGCTGCCTGACTCCGAACACGCACCATATTCGGTGCCCTCTTCAGCGCCCCAAACTGACGCCAAGCCCGTTCCCGTTATCGGGGTCTCCACGCAAGGTGGTAGCACGCCCGTGCCTTCTGCGCCAAAACCCAATGCGTGCGTAAAGCCTCAGGCATTAGCCTCAAGGCAGTTGCCGCCACCCCAGGCCCTCAAACCCAAGTCTAACCCACAAGGCTCGCCTTTCTTCGCCGCTGACTTCTCCCTAGTCTGCAGTTTCATCAGGAACATTGACTTCGCTGAATTATCCTCCTTGGCCCGCGAACTTCGCGGAGCAACCACCCATCAAGACAAGATCAACACCACGATGTAGCACATAAGCCTTATTGATGCAATCTGGTCCTTCCAGTGCGCCTAAACACACTACTAAAAACCCATAATGGCAGTACAACCGTTAGGTAGGATGAGTTTTGATAGGCTGCAATGATATTGGCGACGATGATTATTTATTTAATGCCTATTATCACCACTATCACTACAGCCCTTAACTAGTATACTGCCACAAAACACAGTCCTGTGCCATTTCCTACCAAGTCGTCACTCAATCTAGTAGGGGGCTCCCCTACACCATGCCTACCGGTATGAGGCTGTACAATTCAAAATGTATTCCATAACGGTAATGGGTTTTAAATACGGAGAAACTGTAGTGTCTCGCGCCAAGTACACATTCAACTATATGTGTGTAAAAGTGTAGGCGTTTTTTTGCACGCGAAGCAAATATTGGCAAACCTCCGGAAAGCGGGGGAGGGAGGAGGGGAATGCTCATAGCATACCACGCAGCCAGCTACGTGGTTATGTGCAGACTTTTATCCACTAAACACCACCTTTATGGATTGGCTTACTGATCTGAGAGATCCCTAAGCCGTATACGGACGCGACCCTCCTTGGCAGAAAGGAGGGCTCAGTGTGGCGTGAGACTACAGTGTTTATATTCTCAAATCAGATGTCAGTATATTCTCACCAAATTTTTAATTTCATATTTTTAATTATTAATAAAATTTAATTTATTTATTTTTAATATTATTTTTATTAATTGTTTCCATATAAAAGAAAAAATATTTCGATCTTTCAATTATTTAGTACTTTTCAATATCTAAAATTTTCGCTCGCGCCGTTTTTCATTCTTCGGATTATAGTTTACTGAATTCGGTTGAATTTTTTATTTCTTTTTAAAGATTGCTGGCTTGAATGCTGGTTTTTCAAGCCACACTTTCATTTATCTCAGTATCAACGATTAGTAAAAAAGGGATACATTTAACAAATTTCAATCAGCATTCAATTAAAGCAATTACAGGGGCAATTGAGCTAATCTCCCAGTATTTTTAATTACAAAAAGACGTTAGTCTAAAGTATGGGATTTAATATGGGGAGTTGAAAAAAATTCATTGTTGTTGAAGAAGTTATGAATTGATTTCTCCAAATCGAATTGTATAGAAAATTGCGATGGTAGTAATTCTAGCAGTATCAATTCTGATTTCTTAAATTTACGCGAACACTACACATTGAATAAAACTATTATTTACGGATTTTATCGCGTTTAATTACTTTAATTTATTTTTATTATTATCCCGACGTTTCGGGTGCTTTACAGCACTCATGGTCACGGGGGGGACTGAGATGTTTGACGTCCCAATGTCATAGTTAGTCTGGCTACCTTCAGTTTTTTTTTAATATTAGCTTTTGGTCCGAGTTGCAGTGGTATGCTTGGGTTTTGGTTTAATTTTGTTCAGTATAGGATCCCAAGCAGGTGGCAGCACCCAACCATCTTCTCTATTGAAATTTGGATGTTTTTTTAATTTCAATAGCCTCGCGTATCATCCTTGGTAGGAATCGGTGTTCTTTTGCGAGAATTTGTGGTTTATCAAATCTAATGTAATGGTGGGGATGATCTTGAACATGTTCGCAGACTGCAGACTTCCCGGAGGGTCGGTGCTTCACATCAGCTATATGTTCCTTCACGCGGGTTTTTATAGATCTCTTTGTTTGACCTATGTAAGAGAGACCACATTCACAATCTAGCTTGTACACACCTGCACCTTGTAGAGGAATATTACATTTGATGGATGGTAAAAATTGACTAATCTTGTAGTATGTATTAATGGACGCTCGCTTCAAGATGTAGCCAATCTTGTCCGTGACTCCTCTGACATATGGTAGTAGAGCAGGCGCGCGCTCGTCTGTGGCCGGCTTCACTCGTTCACTGTGATGTAGGCGCGGGACCCGAAGCTTGTTGTCTTGCAATACTTGCTTGACGTGCTGAAGCTCCGCGGCCAGATGTTTTCTGTCACAGATCCCTCGTGCTCTCTGAAACAAAGATTTACCCACGGTAGCTAACTGTGAAGGATGATGGTGAGATTCACCATTTAGATATCGGTTGGTATAAATAATTAACAAAATTAAACCAAAACCCAAGCATACCACTGCAAGACTTCATGATACTATAAGCTCGTTTGGCGTAAATCGGACAAAAAATTAATATTAAGAAAAAACTGAAGGTAGCCGGACTAACCATGACATTGGGACGTCAAACATCTCAGTTCCCCCCGTGACCA